TAAGGATCTTGTTATCCAGGCAATAGTCCTTAAAATCCTGGTTAAGGTGGCTCTCATGGCCGTCCAAGATGAGTAGCCTGTATCCCCCTACCTGACGCGCTCTTGTATGCGCGTCAAAATGCTTCAACCACTCAAGGCCAAGCGCGTTGTTCGTCCAGCCGTTCTCAGAGACAGAGAGCTTCCAATTGTGTGGTATATCTGTCTCCTCGTACCAGGCAGAGATGTGGATGCGTCCTTTGTAGATGATGAAAGGCGGGGTCGCATATCCAGCAGCGCAGATGCTCTGTATAACTGTAACCCACTCCTGATCGCCTGGCTGAACAAGCTCAGGTCGAGCGCGTCTCTCAGCGCCTGTGACAACCTTCATTGACCCTATCACGCCCATCTGGAACCCAGTCTTATTAAAGTTGTGCACGTTATTGTTGTGGATGCTATACTTAGCCTTAGTACCCTCTACTAGCATAAACCACGCGTTAATTACCTTAGGATCTTCCTGCAGTATCCTCTGTCTGTCCTTTGCTTGGTTGAACGCTATCTTGAGCTGATCTAAACGCGTTACAAATCTTGTAGCCTAGAGTTTACTAATAGGCTCCCTACCACGCACACCTAATAGTTTATCAGCCATATCTGCTACCTCACACAGCTGAGGCGCAAATCCTCGCGAATTAAGGTCAAGGATATATTAGACAATTGTTTGCTCTTTAGTTGCAGTAAGCTTCTGGCAGTTTGCGCGTACGTTGAGTCGAAATGGAGTATTGCTAGCGCGTTCAGAGAGCCTGCGTTGGTTAACGTTGAATGCAGCAGCAGCAGCCCGATGGCTCTGAAACTGTCCGGTATTGTAGGCCTGGAGAGCAAGCTGCAGTCTCCCTTCGTGTTGAAGCAATAGGTCGTGATGTTGTTGAGACATACTGTGAAGTGCGGAGTTGTGTTGGTCTTGGCAGATTTTGACTAGTTCAGTGATATGACTAGCTCGGTGATAGAGTACGTTATAGCTATTTACTAAGATATTAATTTCTGTCTTATATGCTTGTTTTAATAGGGCAAAACAGCCTACATTAAGTGGCTGTAGGATATAGGAGGTGTGAGGAGGCATATAGAGAGTAATAATTTTGTTCTCCTTACACAGATCCTGGAAGGCAAGCAACTTGTGGCTCTCATGGCCATCAATAATCAGCAGCCAGTGGCTACCCACTGTCTGGGCAGTTGTATGCTGGATGAAGTGCTTCAGCCACTCTAGGCCTAGTTTATTTATTGTCTAGCTATTCTTGCTAACACTAATATACTAATCCTTTAGGTTATAATACTAGGCTTAGTTATAGTTCTTTGCTTTAAAGATAATAAAGGGTAGGATAACCTACCCTATAGCATTAATTATGGCAATTAACATTGCCTATTTATAGTTACTAGGCTAGACTCTAAGTAGCTTAAGACACCTCTTAGACGCTGTTACTACCTTAACAGACCCTCTAACACCTATCTAGAAGCTAGTCTTATTAAAGTTGTAGGTATCTTAGTCCTAGATGCTATATTTAGCTTTAACATTGCGCACAAGGTTAAACCAGGGGCTGATGATAGCTAGATCACTGCACAAGACTCTCTAGTAATCGCGCTGTCTAGTTACCTAAGACTTGATCTCAGGCTTCTAGTTTACAAGGTGCCTAGCCTATTTTTCTCCAACCTTACTACCACCATAGGCAGCTAGCAGTTAATTGGCTATTTCACGTACGTAGCTTAGCGTAGGGGCAAAGCTTCGCGCGTCAAGCTTCCTTATGTATTGTATAACTACCTCCTCTTTAGGCTTAGTAAGCCTTAATCTGCCATAGTAGGAATTGCGTTATAAGGTGGTTTTAGCGCGTTAGTCTTAGAGGGTTAATTAAGGAACATTATAGATAGCAGCAGTGCACTGTTAGCTTATTAACGTGTTAGATTTTATAGCTTAGATAGCAAGGATTATCCTATCCTTATAAGGAAGTAATCTAAGATTAGGTTGTTAAGACATTAGAT